CATGTACTTCCAACAATCATGGATCAGATGAAAGTTATATGAGAAGAAAGCTATATCTTCGTGCACTCAGAATATATATCACTATTTAATATTGAGTTGCATTTTCATCCTTTTTCCATAATTTCCTTTGTACACACGAAGACAGCAAGAATTTTTGAAAAATACATCAAGCCTGCTTGTACATCATTTCCACAGCTGTTCAAAGAAAAGATAGAATAAAGTACGTTTCTTAACAGAACAACTTGTGCTCCATAACATGACCATATTAGCCTCTGAAAACATTCAGCTTCCAGTTAAATCGCTTTGATTGACCGTTAACCGGAGTAGCCGTATGTCACTTGCAATAATCGTCTTAGGTACTATTTGCAAGAGCTTAACAATATCCTAGGAATTATGGAGATCGTATAATTGCTAGTAGATATCGCTAATCGCCGCAATTTTTCAACAATTTTTCTTGCCTGATTTTATAAAATATTTATTGATCAGCAATATTATTCTTGTGATAATTTTCTCACAAACAACCTAGATTGAGTTTTTATAGAATGAAAATAATACACAATAATAAAAAATCTATTTTTCTGAAACTTCAATTTGTTCCTCTGCTCTTTCCAGCTGATTTTCTGAGCTCGGTTTAAACATTGTTAATCGTGCTAATCGTTCTAAAAGTTCCTTCTCGAATCCATTTTTATCGACTTTCAGTAAAACTAATGTTTGTAATGGTCTTCCCCAGCGACCAGTCCAATCAGCAACTGTTTGACCTGAAGTTAATCTTCCATTATCTTCTACATCCACACAAGCACGTTGACCTTCGAATAGATCTGGCCTAATCAAATACATTATCGCGGTTGGATCATTGAAGCACGGTGGATCATTCCAAGAATGTAAGATTTCTGTATAATGTGTGGTTATATCGAAACAAAATTGTCCAATTCCATGTAGGTTTCTCATTTTTTCCCGTATTTCTTGATTTAATGGAAGTTGACGAGTACAATTTAATCCAACCATTGTTATATCATTGAAAGCATCAAATACAATTCGTCCTGCATGTGGATCATTTGCCAAGTTAGCTTCAGCTGCAGCCGTTTTATTACCAAATCCTCCGACAGAACCACCCATAATAACTAGTCTTTTAACAGATTTAATAAAGTTCTCACCACCAATTGATACAGCTAATGCAATATTTGTTAACGGACCAATAGCACATAGTGTTATTTCTCCTGGATTGGCGAGAACATGTTGCACAATAAATTGTGCAGCACTACTACCTTTGTATTTTTCAATGGGACTCTGATTTAAATCTTTTACTGGATGTTGTACATTTCCAATTCCATTTTCTGCATGTACTTTAATTCCTGAATGACCATGATAAGCGCAAGCAATCGGTTTCTTTGCGCCTTTAATCACAGAAATATCTGAACTCATATGACACATTTGTAATAATAAACATGCATTATTTGTAAGTAAATCAATATCATTATGATTACCCATTACAATTGTGATGCCATCAATCTTTATTTTATCTGGTGAAGCTAAAGCTAAGAATATTGCAATTGAATCATCAACACCAGGATCACAATCTAAGATTATTCTTTCGCAAGTCATATTGTGTATTACGAATATTGATAGTATTTGTTCTTGATCTTAATATTAAATGTTACCTAGATGACAATATAGAAAAACATGTTATTGGGCTCGTTTTCGAGCCTGAACTCAATGCGTCTAGTAGGCCTTAGTGAACTACCTTCACCATAAAAAGAATTCATGCCTCTGGTGTGTTCCTGGAGAGATATCGAGTTTTTAGTGAATTTTCTTTACAGTAATCTACTTTTGCAACAAAGCTATATTTTGAAACTTTGACCTGAATCTTTGCCCACAGAAAGACATCAGCAAGACTAACATGCATCAAAAATTTCAGAAGTTTTGGACGAAGTCTTTTCAAGATATGGAACTATCAAGCCATATATACTTTTTCATAGATAGTACACGTAGTACGCATTTTTTGAAAGCCTCGTATCTCGAGAAGACTTTGCCAAAAGTTTCTGAAATTTGTTATCCAAGTTAGTCTAGCTGATGTCTTTCTGTGGGCAAAGCTTCAGATCAAAATAAAAAAATATATCTTTAATGTATAAGTGGGTTACTGTAGAGAAAAAATTCACTAAGAGCTCGATATTTGTCCAAGAACACGCTGGGGCACGAACTCTTTGCATCGTAGACGTATTAAGTCCTGACTCGAAAGCGAGCGAACACCTGAGAATGATCCATTGTTAGCTTCAATATGAAAGATAAAAATATGATATACATATCATCTCCTACACAAACAGACTCATGAAATCTATCGATGCAAATTTAAATGCTGCTATTTCTAGACTGAAAGCTTCAGATCTGAAGGCGGTAATTAAATCGTTTTGCCTTTGTGTCCGTTTGTCTGAAACACAATTTTGAAATCTCTGGCTGCCTCACAAAAAGGCATCGTTTTTTGTTTTTATTTGCCATACATTTGCATTAGAAGCAGAAACTTTTTCGAACGTAGCGTCCACTTCTGAATCTCGAGACTATACTAGACCCTGCAACAAAGATACGTCGATATGGCAAACATATGGCTAGATGATTGTCGGACTTGTTTCTGAACTTTGTGATTCTTCTTGCTATTCATGTTTAGCTCATTATTGTTTTGGGGCTATCAGAGTCTGTTTGGACTTTTATTATGCAATGTCGAACGTTTGCTAGATTTGGAAAGAATTTTAAATTCTTAGATTAAAAAATGCACCATTTCACCTGAGACTTCGACGTATTGTCAATGCCATAGTTTGACAGATATTCTATGACTATTTTTCGATCCGTGGGAATTCATACTTTCTGGACGATGAAGTTTGGGATTTTATGACCGTGAAAGTCCAGATTATCAGAATATGATCTCTTTGAATCACGAAAGTTTGGACTTTTGCAATTCGATCTGCACGGTTTCTCAAAGGCTTTCCGATTTTGGAACGATTTGAAATCCCGAGGCTTAAATGATCTATTTTCCACTTTCGCAATACGATATATTATTTAGTTTCTATCATGAAATGTTACATACAGCTGGAAACAATTCTTCCTGAACCTTGTGGCAAATTCTGACGGAAATAAAAAGTAACTTTTCTCGATGTGAAACTGTTCTATCGTGTTTCATATTTTTTAATCCTGTGGGGATTGCGCTAAAAACTTTGTGATCATTTTACAAACATTTTCACTGGAATTAAGGTTCATCTTTCAGTTTAGGACCAAGTGAATTGACAGTCGATGAACGTTGCTTATGAAATATGGAACTATTCAGATGAATGGGATGAGATCAGAATGCAGATAAGTTGGGTCTAATCTTATTATCAAGCCAAAATTCAAATCTAAATTTTATGCATAAAATAGTCCTAGATATACTCGAAATTGTTTATTTTGGTTACTAAATAATTCACTGTGAAATTCTGAGTCAACTTCACTATGTTGTGATGGAAATAAAAAATTGATTCAAAGTCCATTTTTATACGCATCGTCATTATTTGACGGGAATCCTATCTGAATCGGAATTGTTGTGCTAAAGATGGAGTTTCGAAAGTACTTTGAAAAGATATTTGCAAAGGATTTGAACTTCAGACGTAGCTGTTTGTTGAACGCTCACATCTGATGAAATTAATTCTATTCAGCAAAGAACCACTCACCTTACACTCAAGGTCGATGGAGAAGTGCCTTCTTAGTTATATAAGAGGTGAAGTCGAAACGTCATATAAAAATATGAAAAAAGAAAAGATAATTATGTGATACATGATGTCGTAAAAGCGTGAGACAATTCTTTTTTGTCATTTTTACCAGCTATATCGTCAGCATGACGTGAATGAGAGAGGTTTAGTTATAGATATGAAAACGTGAGCATGAAAGGTAAACGAGTTATTTGTGTCGTGAAACACGTCTTTCTAATCTAACAAATTTTTTTTTCTTTTGTGTCTGATTCCTATTGCTGTTGGTGCTTGTTCTGGGTGTGGGTGCTGTAGACTGCAGAAGAACAACCCACACTCACACACAGTTCATTGATATGGAAAATTTAAGACTTATAGAAGTCTAAATAAGAGATTTGCAATTTTTAAGATGAAGATTTTGTTTGACATGTGTTTCTGCCTAAATAGCCTTTTTTCAAAATATCTCAAAACTTAAACAAAGCATTTAAAGAATTTGAATAAAAAGTACCAGACAAAATGAGCAAACTAAATTAAGTAAAAATAGTCAGCTACGTAATGTGCAAGTAACCTTGGTGAAAGCGAGAAGATAGAATCACACTTAGAGAAGTGTCTATACAGCTGAATGGTAGATTATTAAGTGACTTATATATGATTTTTATGTTGTACATAAGAATTGAGAAAAAGAAAAAAAATGAACATAAAAGTAAGTGAAATTGAAATATTAAGTTACGTGATGCATAGTAGAAGGAAAAATGAAGATAGAAAGAAAAGCCAAAAAATACTAACAGTATGTATCGAAGAATGACTAGATAGTTGAATATAAGATAAATCAGCTATCTGTATATGTTTGCTATATATCATGTATCAAGAGTGGTGATGATTCATCATCTATTACGAATAGTGATAGTATGAATAGAATGGAGGAGATAGGTGCATATAAAAAATAAAAAATAAAAAAAATAGGCGCATTTTAGGGCGCAAGATATTAATGAATAGATACTTTTGTAGCGCACAAAATATGAAAAACAATTTTATAGTGTCTAGAATATAATAGAGTGTGCGCCTTATGAATATGTAAAATACAGAACAATACCCATTCTCACAAATGCGCAATAGTTCAAGTAGTAGAGAAGCAATACCTATACAGGCATGTAAACACATGTATACAAACACCCAAACCCACACCCACATCCATCCCGAGTATATGCCCATTTATATCTGTGAACACTTTCAGTTTGTTTTTGATTTTATTTCAGTGCATATGCACTCATCGCGATACTGATTCGTTTCAATTTAAAATGGTACCAATTGACCATGTGCATTGCACATTTTCATATTCTTTCCGTTGAGCGCAAGTGGTGCTTGAATTGAGCTCATTTTGGCTTGCACTGCCTTCAGACAGTTGCGATGAGTATTGTATTCACAGTTGAAAACAGCCTTGTTCGCTATAATGAACAACATTGTAGATTCTTATATCGCTTTTCCGAAAACTTTACCTTTAATAAATGGCTGAAGTGTATCACACTCATTATAAGCAAAACACTCCTCATTGAGTGCCCAATCAAAATGTGATGCAAGATGTCCAACTTGATCGACATCATTTTTTAACCCAATCGAGAGATCTCGAGCATGGGCTTCTCTAGCTAGCCAAGTATTGTAAGTGATTTGATCTTGATATGTGACTCTAAAACCTCCTCCGTCGATCTGAGTATAAACATCGACATTATCTGGTTCGACACCATCACATCCTTTGACTTTGGCCAGGTCCAAGCGAGCGGCCATAATGGGTCCAAGAATATCCAAACGGCGAATGTCTAACCACCATTCACCGCTCCTGTTTTAACAAAAACATGGAGAACAGTGAGATGAAGAAACAAGTTTACTTACCAACCATCTAGTGCATTCCCTTTGATGAAGGCAGGAAAGAGATGTTTGTCTGAACGCCAATCTTCGTAGCTACCAGCACTAAAGTTTAGAAGAAGACTTACATCGTTGTCTATTCACCTGTTTTCCTCTAGATGACTGCATTAAAAAGCATCACTTTCAGATGCTCCATTTCTCTTAGCGAAACAATTCGCTTTGCTCAAGATGGATGAAATATTCGAAAACAGCAAGTATTTTGAAGCGCTGAAATTTCTGAATTACAAAATTTATTAAATAATGCTGAGTTAAAGTATCGCTAAAATTGTGTTTGATCAAAATTTGCGATTTTACCAACAACGTGACTCATAACTCATCGTCAACAAGATTAATAGATGTTTTTTTTCACGAACATCCTGTGGAAGAAAAGTTGATCATTGGTTAATTTCGATGTACTGCAAACTCTATTTTCTTACACAGAGGAATGCTCAAGTTCCGTATCGTGTAATTGGAATTCTATTGTATCGTTAAGTTGACTATTCGATGGAGCATATCTTGTGATCTTCTTCGATAAACTGTGTTTACAATGGACGCAAAATAGCGAATAGGAACTCAACGTCTCAACATAGTTACTGATGTTCAGAAAGTAAATTAAAGAAATAAATGCCAAATCCATAGTTTTCTCGATTATAAGACTTATCACAATACTAACTTCTTTTTTTAACTCAATGTTGATATGTATCAATACACTACATGTAGTTTTTATTTTTAGAAGATATTGTCGCGACACAACAACCATGATTATTTGAGAAAGTTTTCATAATCTGAATCACTCTAATTAGATGTGATACGCATCATATTTTCAAGTTTTTTATTAGAACACTGATACATATCAACATGATTCTGGAAAAAATGTCCTAATTTAATCTTCAATACTAGACTTCTAATATGTCACCTGATTATTACAAGTAATCGAAATACCTTTCTATTACATAAATTGAGACACTTTTTTCTCAACTCAACTTTTCATTAGAGATAGATAATATCGAAGAAAGGATAAATGATAACCAACTTTCAAGTTAATCCAAGAACGTTCTTTGGACATGCGTTATTTTCTAATATAAATGTATTCTAAGATGTGTTTCATTATTTTGTGTCTTAAAGAAAGCAGTTTTTGAGAAAAAGATTACTTAACATACAAAGTCATTCTAAGGGAAAACATTCAAAACTTTTTCATGACGTTAGATTTCACTCATTGTATGGAAAACTGAAGTTTCTACAATAATGATAGTGATAACTGTTACAGATTAGTAAGAATTGTGTAAAACTTATTATTATTATTCCTACAGATACTGTTGTGGGTGTGGATGGGGTACGTAAAGAGCAGACCACCACCCACACTCTTTTGAATACGAATTTCAGTTATCTGTAAAACAACAAGTATTGAACGAATAACAATACCTACCTGAAATAGCAGATTACTTTCTTTCCCGAACTTTTCAGCATCGTAATTGTATTGTTGGGCGCATCCCACAGGTCAATATCGTACATCACGACATTTTTCGTGATATCCAACGTACCCGATATTTGCCATGTCCAATTTGTGAGCGGAGTCGGCTTCCAGTAACAGTCGACAAAAGCAACAATGAACAAAATCAAAAGAGCAGATACTACGATCATTGATTTTTCTTGCTGCAACACAAATATTGACGTCTTTTAGCTTCCTGACAAACTATACACAAAATGATTAAGCTATTCTACAGTCGATGACAAAAGTTTAAGCAAAGTCGTTTCTTTTTCAAATTTTCTTTCACATTAAAAGGTATGAACCTGATTTAGTGGATGATATAGATAGTATGACAGACCAGCTTCATGATGTATTATAGGAGGAGACTCTGCCTATTTATACAGGTTTTTCATAATGAAAGTGATCTTTTTGTCGTAAAAACAGATTTAAGTAGTTTTCAGTATGTCACATTTTCTAACCGAGAGATTTTCAATAAAATAAAAAATAGACCATGAACAGAGAATTTGACACTTACCCAGTTTCTAAAAATATTTCTTACTTAAGTGTAAATCTGTCGGCTAAAAAATGCGAAATACTGGAAACCCTCTAAATCCGTTTTTACGTTGAAAAAGTTAATTCAATTATGAAAAATCTATATAAACAGACAGAGTACTCTCCTATAATTCATCATGTAGCTGACCTCTCACGCTCTGTATATTACCGTTGAAATCAGGTTCGTACCCTTTAGTGTTAAAGAAAATTTGAAAAAAGAAACGAATTCGCTTAAACTTGTGTTGTCAACAGTGCGCTGGAAAACGTAGAGTGATTATAGCAACAATTGATAGCAAACGGTACCAATTTTATTTCATATTAAAGTACTCACATTTTTCGATGAATTCAACCTGAAAAATTAACGCTGTGTCTATATAAGACAATAGAAAATGTCTGAGAACAGCTGCTGTAATCTAAAATCGAATATGTGACTTTGTGTTATTCGATCCTTAGTAATTAAATGCGACTTAATGCCAGCATCGTATTGATGTAGCAAAAGCCCATAAGTTGTCATATTTTTTTATCCCTTTGTTTTCACGATAAAATAGTTGCTTCAAATGTGAATACGTTTTCTTCTTGTATTGTGCATGTGTAGTTACCATCTCTAAAAACTTGACGAAAACAGTGAAGAGCACATTCAAAATATTTTGTTGCTACGCATAAAAAACAAGCGATACTATTATTCTGGTACTCTAGAGAAATGCAAAAATCTAGCACCAGAGTCAGATGTGGGTACGGAGCAGTGCTGCACCCGGTAACTGTAAATAGTCGGTCGGATCCGGTAAGGATTCCTTACTGGTCGGTATAGATGCTTTCGATTTTTTGCATACTCTTTGAAGAGATTAATCATACAGATTTTTTCTCATGTCAAACCAGTTGTACTGATATCAATAAATATTTCTATCAAGTGAGTATTCATCAAAAGACGCTTAATATACTTTATCCAGTCACTTCGATATCAAGTTATATTATCGAAACGAAATGGAATCGTTGACCTTCATTGTAATTGAACCAAATGTAAGAAGAGATTTCGGATGGGTATCGAAAATTGAATATGGATGTCTCGATTATTGTTCTTTGTCAAGAGATTTACTGGAAATTTTTCGAAGATTTAACGAAAGAAAAAGTTTAAAAGAAAAAACAAAACTCAGACATTCATTTTAATGTAAGGGAAATCCATTGACTGTGTATCAATCTGTCAGTAAAACAGAACAAAATTAAACTTCGTTTCCAAATTTCTTTGTGTAGAAAAAAAATGAACTTGTATCCCAGAAATAGAACTATAATCAATAATTACCTTCGAAATTTGTCAAGCGCTGCTGTAAATAATGTTTCTTTCCAATTTCAGTGGTAATGATTGTTTTATAGTTTCTTCTGATGGTATTTCAGTTCGGAATGGATTATGTTCGTTTGTAAAGGAAAATAAATTATATCTAACGTCTGTACAATCTTGTGATGCTACTTCTTTCTACTTTCGATCAACGAATATATTCTTCCATTGTCAAGTGAACCAATGATGATATACTGACTATCAAAGTCAGTACTTTCAACAATGAAGCAGGATGAGCATATGCATGTATTTTCGCCTTTATATATGCACTATCGAATTTTTTTCAAATAGACATGATGTGCCTGATACAGTCACATATAACCAAGAGATTTCCACCATATTGACACGCATTTGAATTTGTGCTCTTTCAAGTGTGAAAATATGACTAATTCATAGGACAGGGCAGAAAGCGTATATAATGTTTATAAAATATATAGTTGTTTTTACTTCCTTTCATGTTCGATGAACCTATTTAACGACCAGCTCGGAATCAAACTCAACATCAAGCACTACTTAGCTATTAGAATCAATGGTTAACTTAGTGAGTAAATCGAGGATGTAGATCATACTGTAATGAAATCAGTCATGTTTATTTTCATAAGAGAGGTATTCTTTCGATATTCGAAGCCGTATTGTATCAACGTTAAAAATCTTTCAATTACGAAATATTATTCAAAGAAAATTTCGTGTTCGTCAAGCTTTGATAGGTAACTAAATAGAGTACTGACGTCAGTAACCAATATTGGTCATCGATCTGATTGCTAATTGGCGTGTACATTTATTTTTTCGATTTGCTTATCAGTTGAGGAATCGAAAAAAAACTTTCATAAATATTGATTGAGAAATTTCTTCATCGTATGTAATGGTATTCTATACATTGTATTGATGTTGACGATTTTTAACAGCATAATAATTAGAAAACTTACAATGTCAGTCAGTATTCAGTCATAAGTTTCATTCGTCGTGGGTGTGGATGTGAAGGAGCTGCCATGACCGGTTTCGTCCATGCTTAGAGGACTCGCTCATATGGCTTATCTATTCTGAATTAATCTCGTCCTATACGGTAGCCGAAAACACTGATTGTTGGCCGTTGTGCATTGAAGGAAAAATAATTATCATACCGAACCTTTTTTACAACAAATTCTAAACCCTCGAGAGGGTTTCGTAAGAACCTTTGACCCTTTCAAAATGATTGTCATCGATCGAAAAGTCTTTGTTAAAGGATCGGTAGGACTTTTTAGGGTTTGGTACGAAACCTAAAAGGGCTTAGCGTTCGTTGCAAAACTCGAAACCTTTAAATGTTTCGTACATTGTACAGAACCCTTTTTTCCTTCACGAAACTCTCTGAGGTTCGATAATGTGACCATTCTTTTTTCAGTGTCGGAAGTTGCGTCGAATAGTACGTACAAGCTTTGTCAGAGTTTTGTTTTTTGTTTTTTGTAGGGCAGTTTTCTATGTTGTTGGCGTTTGTGATGAGGCCTGTTGGGGTTTTGTGATGATATGTTTATTTCTATAATGATTTCCAGTATATGA